ATCTGTCTCGGCTGCCATTGACTTGCACAATATATCAATATCCAGCGAGCACAGCGGCTCACTCCCCCGCATAAACAGACCAAAGACAACGATGACTCCAAACACCAGCCGCTGACATTTGCACAGCATCCACAGAGGAGAGGAAAAGCACAAATGTTCCAGCTCCGCGGGAGCACTGGGAGAGAGAGAGAGACTTTTTTTTTTTTTCTTAAGACTTTGTTCATCTTCCGTTTCTTTCTTCTCGCTCAGCGGGCGGCCATTTTCCTTGCTCGGACTGAAGGTTGTTTGGCGCACCTGGAGACAGCAGGGGGAATGGGGGGGGGCGGCGGGAGGTCAGAGCCGGCCAGGAGGCGCCGGCTTAACGGGAGCACTTTATTCAGACAGACACCCAGCTCACAGGTCATTACTGCTGTAAGGGGATTTCAGGTCTGGGCTACAAGCTCATCTATTTCTGCAGCTTTGTGCTGGGTTTGTGTGTCCTTGGGTGTGTGAGAATTCGTGTAATGCAACATTTTGGTTGTTATACGAAGGCCAAATTATCTGACATTGTCCACAGTTAACAGCACTCCTTGCACACTGAGAAAAGGAACGCTTTACACTCCACCTTTGATTCCGGCTCTTAAACAAACAGAAGAAGTTGACTGATCTAAAATTACGATACAAGAACATTTAAAACCTGTAAGTGTATTTATATTAAACAAGCTGGATATATTGCACAGTGGCATTGAGACCATCCTTCTAACTGGAGGGAAACATTACTAAAATGTCATTCAGATACAACTGCTCTGAACCAAACCTTGTTTTATTATTATTATTTTTGAATTTAAGACCCTAGTGTTCGGTTCCCTTTTTTGGAAGCTAAAAAAAACAAAGTACGGTACCTGCGAATTAGTCACATTAAAGTAAATATTGAAGAAATTTCCCTTCAGACGTTTCCTTAGTAAGTTAACAGATGAGGTGTGTCAGCTTTGTGAAACTCTTGTTACATTTGTACCGACTTTGTGGATTAAACCATTTTATACTTCCTAACCATCTGTTTTTATTGTTTTTATCCATGTTATGCTGCTTATTATTCTGGCTTAAACACACACACGCACATCCATCTGACCATTAAGTAGAATCGCTCTACAAACTGAACAGATGTACCTCGTTTTATTCTTGTTAGTCGACACAGTGATGCAGGTGGGCTTCAGTACTGGATGGATAAACACAGTGACAAGCCTTCCAACTGGAACTGTCAAACTCCAGAGTCATCCCCAAGAACCTGATCATCTAGATAAACCATCCAGTGCACACACCCACACACAGTTGGCAGACACACCCACCGAACAAAGAAGCCCTAAAGACTTTTTATTGCTCCACTGGAGGAGGCTCTGCCACAAGAGGCTGCAGTGTGTCTGTCCTCTCACTGCTGTACTCAGCTGTCAGCTTTATCCTCTGCCAGCGCCACCATCTCCTCGTATAGGGCCGGGTATCGGTGCTCCGAAATAACGCAGTACCGAGTAGTATCGAAACGTCTGCAGTCAAACGATACCCGTATTCAAGGCTTTTTGTACCCAGATCTAGAAAAGAATGAGCATTTGTGTTGTTTAGCTCACAGCCGACATGCCACCAAGACGTTGGAACGTACAGCTATGCTACACGCCTGTGGCGTCTAGATAAAAATAAATGTGGTGGTTTTACTGATTTTACGCAACTGAATGCTTCCATTCACATGATGGGTATTAAATGAAGAAGGAAAAAAAGTATCAAATATCCCTTTAAGGGTACTGGTGTATTGGTACGGGTATCGTCATTTTCTGAACAATAGCATACTGTACCTAGCTTATCCCCATGTAAATGCATCAGGTTGGAGGCCACATTATACGATCTATTCCAATCTCCTCAAGGAAAGACCCTCATTTGACTGCACTGGGACATCTCTGTTAAAAATTCAACATGTCTCAGGCTTTATAGAGACCCTCCTTTATTGCACACTTCTCTTTTGATAGATGTGATGTTGTGGAGACCAACAGCAGAGAGCAATATGGAGGTTATGGAGGTACAGAGTTAAAATGGTAAATGGACTTGCTTGCTTTTATGTGGCATCTTTCTCGTCTTCCGGCCACTCAAAGCGCTTCACACTACATGTCAACATTCACACAAAAACGTTCATACACTGATGGCAGAGGCTGCCATATATAAGGCACCACCTGCCCATCCGGAGCTAAACTAATGCGCATGCTCACTCACACACACACACAGGAGCAATTTAAGGGTTCAGCATCTTCTGTCTCACGGACACGTACACATGCTCACTGCAGGAGCCGGGGATCGGTATGCAGATCTTCTGATTAGAGGACAACCCGCTCTACTTCTGAGCCACCGCCGCCCAGGGAGCTCCCTTAATTTGCTCGGATGTGCTAGTTCTGCGCTCTGCATCGGGGTGTTTTATAACTGCACTCCAAGCTGTAACCTGAGTGAATGTAACAGGACATCAAAAGGACATGTTTGCATGGTGTCAGTCCCTGCCATCCAGCCTCTTTTCTATGCTGGAGCCAATGAGGCAGCGGTAGCACTCTTTGAGCCATGACATCACAGAATTACAAATAGGAAGACGTTTGCAAAAAGTCCTCTTATCTTCATCTCGCTGGGGACTTTTAGGGGAGATTTAACTACCTACTAGCGGAGACATAAACAGCACCTTCGCCATTTTTGGCAGTACTTCCTAGTATCCCGTGGAGGCTTAGCTAGTGGGGGGGAGGGCTGCCTTCAAATATTTGCCTAGTGTGATCATCAGACTGTCATTGTCCCTCGTTTCACCCTCACTTGGCAGTGGGTGCACACACAGAGGAGGAAGGTGGGGAGTCTGCTTTCTAGTTGTTGGCAGTCGAGAAAAAAAAACGATGCTCATTCACAGTTTGGGCATTGAGGCACTCAGTGGGCTAGACCAGACCCTTTCTGTTGGCTTTGGAAGGGGGGGGGGGGGAACCCCTGCATTCATTTACAGTGAACACAAAAACAACACTGCTTTTACAGAGCGGCTCCGTCTGTACATCACAACACAAGCTGAGAGGGACAACTAGAAATGAAATTCTGGATGATTATGTCATGCTTCACAGAAATATACATCAAAACAGCTAAAAAAAAAAAAAAAGAAAGAAAATCAAAACGTGTTAGTTTCATTGTTACAGTTAGCGTTTGGTTTTACATCTATAAACCTGGACAAGGCACAGGCTCACTATGTGTCAGCCCATGCTGGCAGCGTGAATGTGAGCCTCCGGGAAAGAGAGAAGCCGTCTGGAACGCTGCCAGCAGGCTCGAGACGGTGGAAACTGAAGCATCGACAACAGCAAACCACAGCAATGCACTACGGGCTATGAACACGCAATGAGGATGAACGGGGACCGCCTGCTCGTCGGTGCCTTCGTAAAAAAAGGTCTTCGCTCGAGGAAGCGCAATTACAATTCTGCGACTGTCATTGGGAGGAGGAGGGCGTGGTGGGAAAACAACTTTTAACCCCCCTGCCCCCTCGAGGCGAGAACTTTTTACGAGCTCAGCTGAACGGACCGCGCGAGCAAAGTCACACTGACATTCCCCTGGAGAGAGAGAGAGATCAAAAGAGAATGAGTCAGTGAGAGAGCTTGGTGCACGAGGGCCAAACAACCCTCTCAGTCCTCGCACGCCTCAGTTATCGTGTAGCACATCACCTCTGGGTATGAGAGGCATGTGAGCAGCGCACAGAGGGTGACAGCAGGCTGGAAGTGAGAGTGACAACGGGACTTATCCGTGTCACATGCCAAGGCTGAAACGCATCTGCACATGCTGGCCAATGGCTGCCTCACACCCTCCCTCCTCCCCCTCACTTGCCTTGAGTGGGTACAGATGTGTGATCCACAGACGCTGCCACTCTGGAGCCCTTATTGGACCCACGGGGCTCAACAAAGGCTGGCACACAGCTTGAAGAGCTCCTGGCCGAAGTGTCACTGCACAATGTCACGTCATTTGCAGGCGATGGTGTGAGGGTGATGAGAGGTGCGACGGCTAAACGCAGGACGTTGTTTTTAAATGATGGAACGCAATTGAACAGCTCCCAAAAGACAAATATGGCAGTCTGGTAATGCTTATGATAACTTGCACAAAGGTGAATGATCAGAATGAGTTTTGATCTGATTATTTTACAAACACAATGACTTTATAGGAACAAAAACATAGAATATGCTGCATTCTGCTCAGGAAAGAGCAGCACCTATTTAGCAATGCTACAGATCTCCCCCTCGGACAGATTATAAAAAGTTATTTCACACATCTTTCTATTATATTATGACATTAGGCTTCATGTACATCTCAACTAGAAAACAGCAAAAACGTCACTCAGCTCATCTTTAGTCCCCCTGTCACTGTTCTCCGTCTTCATCAATAGAAGCACAACAGAAATACATCTACAGGAAGGCAATCACACCGGGTACATTTGGACAGCGATGCGATTGAGAGGGATGTATTTTATCTGTTTGACAGGAGCTTGGCAAACAACTGTCCCACTGCTCGTCCGTATTGTCACACAAATACAGACTAATCTAATTCAGCAACGGAAATATAATTACTTCTTTCAACTGTGCGTGTCTGCTTTTTTGTTTGTAGTTTTTTTACATCTGAATAAGGCAGAATGACGTTTATCTGTCATGTTTTGACAGCGTACACATGCTCCCATTCAAAAGCACTGACGAGCCACAGAAACATTTGAAAAAAATTGCTTATTTTGACTATTTTGTGGGGGGGGGAAGTTGAGTGATGTCACGTGACTGACTGAGCTCATTTGATCAATGGGATGGATTTAGACAATATTCATATTATAATGTCCTGTATTCATCCCAAGACGACTTTTTTGTTCATATTCAACCTCAATCTCGACTTCCTATAATACGACCATATCACTACTTCCACATAACCCTCGGGGCTACTTTAAGTCAACTGTCCACCTTCCTGCAGAAACAAACATTTGACCCATGATCCACCCTTACCTCTTTGACTTTCTCCCGGCGCTCGTTGGTCTGGGGGTCGCTCGGCCTGCCGGTGTCTCTTCCCAGCGGGGGTTTGAGCAGACACCCTTTGAATTTGTCGTAACTGAAAGTATCCGACATGGCAGCGCGGTTGGAGGAGGAGGTCGCCGCCTTCTCCGAGGCGGACTCCGTCTTGGACTCCGTCTTGGACCTGGGCAAAGTGAAGTCCTCCTGCGCTTTACCCCCGGCGAGCCGCTCCTCGGTGGCATCAAGGAAGACCGTCGGGTTGCGGCTCAGACTCTTCAGCTTGGTGCTGGTGGCCTCTCCTTTGGCCGGGGTCATGCCCCGCGGGGGCTCCTGGTCCTTGGGTCGTTTCAAGTGTTCCCGTGTGGCATCGTTCTCGGACCCGGAGCCGACGGTGACCGGCTGGGTCTCCGTCTTGGACAAAAAAATGCGTTTTAGTCGGACAGAGTCCGGCAGGAAGAAAAGGGCCCCGAAACACAGCGTCACCAAACCCGAGAGAAAGAGCAGAAACACGAACTTCTGGGACAGCCGCAGACCCATGCCCGATGCAGACACACCGGGCAACTTTCGGAAAACCATTGAAAGTTTTCTGGAGACGTCGCTTCACAGTATTCTTCTCCGACGCTACACAGCGGTTTTGACAGTCTCTACTGAGCGGCTCCTAACTGCCGCGTTGGGGCATCTGTAAAAACTCGAAATGCCTGACTTCTAAAACACCCCCCACCCACCCCCCAGAGTTGACACTTCCAGAGTTGCATAAACAGCCTGCCAGAGCAGCTCTTATCTCGCTATCGATTGTATCTGCATAAGCGAAGGTTAGGCCTGCCTACACCAACAATTTACCAATCATCTGACAACACGAGAGCTTTGTGGAGGTTTCATCCAGCCGACATCACGCACATCACGATAGGTTGCGGGATTTGAGTCGACGTAAACCGTGAACGCAGTACAGATTAAACGGCACCGGCGTTCACCGGAGCACTACGCTATAGTCAAGGAGAACTATAACATAACAAATGTATCACTTCTGGAGGATACAATGAAACGTTTCGCAGTGTGTCAGGTCTGTGAACAAAGTTGTGTCTCGATGCATTATTCCGTTCAAATCGTCAGTAGCACATTGCCCCTAAACGGTGCAGCAGAGCATCTCTGTCGCTTATCTCCGTTGAAACCGACCCACGTTGCCGCATCATGTGCTCCTCAAATCTACGCTTAAAGATCGCCAGTCGTGTGTTGTTTCGCATCTATCCTGTACAGCTGGCGGACGGAAACGCGTGTGTATTCATGCCGCCTATCTGTCAGTCGCTCTCTTCCTCCAGTAGCCTGCGTTTCCTCCTTCTTCTTTTTCCTCCCCCCCCTCCCTCTCAGCTGGCGTCAACACGCCGGCGAAACAATTCGGTGGATGACATGAAATGAGGCGGGTTTTTTTTTTGGTTTTTTTGTCCCACGCGAAGTTATCCGATAGCCCCTGATCCAAAAAAAATCCAGAGAATAAACAAATCCACCGTCCAGTCCGCCCCCCGGAGGTCTCCAACAAAAGACTGACACACACACCACCGCCGCGTCGTCGTCGCTCCGGTACCCGCCGTCCGTCAGTCCGCCTGCCTGCCGTGCCTCGCACTCTCGCCTGTAGTGCGCACTTGTGTCGCCGTGCCGTGGACGTCCGCTCGCGTAAAAAAAAGGAATAGAGAGGGGTGGGAGAGAGAGAGAGAGGGCTGGAAATGTAACAATGTAACATATAGTGCAGGCAAAGAGGGGCGAGGAGGTGGAGAGGCTCGACAATCCAGTGGGCTGGTCGGATCCTGATGGATATTCACAGCGGCTTATCACAACACTGTGAAGCCGTTTGGACAGAAGCAGAGAGGTCTGGATGGTTCTGTACATTAGGCAAAAAAAAAGAAAAGACAACATCCACACACACACTCACCCCCCCCTCGAGGAAAATGTGCTCGTTTAATCCCGGAGAAGCTTTTAGAAAGCGGATAGAGATATCTGCCACATATGTCTCAACGGTCCTCGGGAATTTAATAAGCAATATAATGAAGAAAGCACTTTCTAACAAATGCTTTTTTTTTTTTTTTACAGGCCACCGTACAAGATCTCAATCGCTTTATTTTATATTTTCAAGACTTCATTGTCCAGAGATGAACCCCCAGTGGGGACAAACCCACCTGATGAGAAGTAACATCATTCAATATATTTAATTTATTTTATTTGTTGTGTTACCAGGAGTTGATGACCTCAAACGTAAACACAAGTTTGAAGAGCCCAGCAGGTTTGACAGCACCTACTCTAGTTTTGAAGACATTTTCTGATTCCTTAAAGGCTCAATTATGTCGAGCTGAAACTAAAATACTAGTGAGATGAACATTGAAGATGTTTTTTTAACACGTTTACCACGTTGCAACACTTGAATTGGCAAAACTAATTCCGTTGCCGGAAGTGACGCATCTACCTGCTTGTCAGTACCACCAATTTGTTTTATTTACTTCGACTTATTCCTCAGTTACATGCTAACTTATCTACATAAATGTATTTCACATACACAAACCTGTCACTGAGAGGCCATATCATCTTTGTTTGGTTGAAGGAAATATTTTTTTAAAATCTTTTTAATGTGCAGCAGATGGTCGTCTCTAAGCAATATGGAAATGTCTTCAAAACACCTGCAAGGGGTTTCAAAGTTTGGGTTGTTTCAGAAAAAAACAGACAGTTAATGATCTATATTAAGCTAAATTCAGCCAAAGACGGCAGGCCTTGGATAAGCTACATTAAGTCATCAAGATGTTTGAGCAAACATCATAATGACGAATGATTTCAAGTTTAACAAAAGCATCTTATCTCAGCGTCTACTTACTAGCTTTGTCTGGGCCTTTCAGCCATATCACACTGGCTTCTTCAGCGCATGGACTTGGATCAGTGGTCACGGAGACAAATGGGCTGACATGCTACGGCTTAGTAGCTGTTCTCCTTCACTGAGCAGATCAATCCGCTGATGAAGACTGTGTGATGAAGTTGAAAGATCTGGACAAAGCTAAAAAGTGAACCACGAGTTTGGGATTGACGTCAAACTCTTTCCAAAGTCAAGAATGAAGTTTCATGCTTGATTTCAAGTGTATTGCTCAAATCCAACACACTGAGTCACAGCTGTATGTATTTGTTTGAATTTGTCTTCTGTGCATCCTCCCCGTGACTGAGGTACACAGGAAGTTTAGGAAAGCGAGTTTACATAATGTTTACATAAGCAAAAGAGAAGCTAAAGTGTAAACACAGTGTTTTGTCAGTATTTAATAAGATAGATGGGCCCGTGAGTTGGCCATTACTGAAGAGCCTGCACAGCACTATTCAACAAATGCACCTGAAAGCAGGAAAAAGAAAATAAAGGTCTGATCGGATTCAATATTGGTCTTCAATTACAGGTCACAACCCCAAAACCCCACCCAGCGGCCTCTGCTGGTCCTCAGAGGGATTCCGCTGCCCAAAAGTTGACCCAGGACATCCTTACAATCAGTGTATTCAGTGTGGACCATCAGTGTCATTGACTTTCCTGACAATGTCTGTGACGTCTAACGAACTCTTGACGAGCCTCAAGCACACATCCTCCTCTTTTCGTCCCTCTGTCTCCTTCTCCGTTGTTGTAATACTGATTTCAAAATAAAAGTGTTTAAAAATGTTTTTACTTTCTTCAAGGCCAAAAACAGTTGACTAGAATTTGAACATTTCCTGTGAAAGCATATGGTAGGCCCTTATTAACACCTGACACGTGGAACTCCTTAGGTTCTTTATTTTTTTTACGTCAGGTGCATATGGTAGGACGAGCTAATTTTAAGGTAATCTGTGCTGCGTTTGACCCCACACTTTCACTGTTAAGCCATCTCCCTCAGCAACCCTAATTGGTTGAGACTGGCTGTCTGTAACTTACAGAACAGAGGGGGAAGGAAGAACTGTTGAATTAGCCTTTTTACTTCCATATCCAAGAGCTTTTCTTCTGAAAGTAGGTACATCTATAAAGCGTTTCATGGGCTTTATCACTGACAAAAGGACAGTTTGTAGTCAGACAGAGGGGCTTTGTGATGGCTCAGCGTCTGTGTGGAACGAGTATACGCATTTTATCACTCTTTGCAGTGTAGCGTACACCCAGCGGCCACTTTATTAGGTATATCCTGTATAACCTAATGTAGTACAATGCAACTGCCATAAAGTTATATTAAGGTTTTAGCTTTAGGTTCATAGTTAGTGGTGGCGTTCTAATGGAGTACAATTTATTGAGAAGTGTTTCTAATGTTCCGTCACCCTCATAGAGAGGACAAAAAATTAGAAACACCTCTTGATATAAAGTAGTCCGGTACAAAAGCACCTTTAACACCACAATAATAAACATAAATAAAATTGACACAATCCTGACAATATCGACAAAATCTGACTTTGTAAAGAGCTGTTGTATTGGGTTGCATTAGATTGTACAGGTGTTCCTAATAAAGTGGCCACTAAGGGAACATGTTGCACAGCTTCTGAAAACATACTATGAATGTAATCACGGAGGCATTTTTAAATAAGTTTCGCCTCATGGGTTATTCATGTGTTTATGCTGATTCCAACGAAATAAAATACCAACTGCTGCCTTTCTTTAAAAAAAAAAACAACAACTTAATAGACATGTCAAGTCAGTATTTCTCAAAAGGCCAAGTTATACATGAGTCCAGTCGTTGAGCTTGCGTGAAGCTGCGCCAGCCGGTGACAGCCTAGTTCATCACAAGGATGGATGAGCAAGGCAAAACAGTCTCACTACCAACAGGCCCGGACGAAATCAAAGTGCTGACATTTTTCACAGAAAAACAACCGGTTTATAGAGGAAATAAGGCTCCTACAAAAGGTTGTGTGCTTTGCATTCACTCTCACCGCACACACACACACACACACAGCATCCTCATCACTTCAGTGGGGGACAGCATCCTGATCCTCCGTGTACAAATTTTAAGCATGGAGAAGGTAAATCTGGCGCTTCATGTGAAGTTGTTTTCAGTTGGGAGGCATTTACCACACACAGAATACATTCAGGAGTACAGGCAATGATTTTGTGTCTTTCCTCTCCTCTCACAGTTGGCATGTAATACAGATCAGATGACAGATGTACTGCGATGAAGCATTTTTCACTCTTCTCTCAAAGACACGAGTTTAAATGACGGACTACAGTATAATAGCTGATGATTAGGATTCGTCTAACAATTACAAAAATGACCACTTTTGTCTCTAAAAGTACGCAGGACGTGGCTTAAAACAGCTGACTGTCTTGAAAACATTTTCTGCAGCGGGTCACAGACTGGAATCAGTGCCGTGATCCATAGCCAATTCAATTCTGTCCCAACCCACACTGATGTTTTATTCATCAAACGAGATGCCAATGAGAAAGTCCATCTCTGTGTTCTACTCACTCCAATACATCAAACAGCAGGCAGAGATGTATTGGCCCGTGCCAGGGTGTCCAGATTAATAACGTCTCCACGCCCGCTATTTGTTTCTTTAAGCACCGCTGCAAAGCATTCTCTGACATTGTGAATCGTGGCTCGGCAGCATGCTTGATGT